GATAGTTAGCCCTCTAGGACACCTAGGCAGCTGCTTGCCAGGCTGGTGGACTCCCATCCAGGTTAGAGGTGACCTAGGTCTGAGGGAAAGCCAGTCTGGCATGGAGCAGAAGGGAGTCTGGAGCAGGAAGAGGGGTAAGCAGAGGCACTGAGGCAGAAAGAACTGGATACCTGATAGAAGAGCAGGCTGCTGTGGCTGGCATGCAGTGCTGGGCAGGGACACATGGCTAGGGTGGGGGCCATATCCAGCTTTCACCATCAGGTAGGTTCCCGATGGCAGTAGCTCAGCTGGCACCTGTAGCCAGAAGCCCTGACCTAGAGATCCCAGAGGCTGCTGGGAACCCTGAGTCCTGAGCTGGAGATCAAGCTGGTATAGCCTCCCCTGCATCCTGATGCCCCTGTTCTGTCTACGGTAACCATAGGGCCTTTGCAATGTAGCTGTTGGCATCGGAGCTCCACCACTCATTGTATGACCTTGTGTTTTGGTTTCCTCTCCTGCCGGTGGTGATTAGTAACTGTGCCCGCCTGGTATGTCTGCTTGAGGAGTGACTAGGAGCTCAGGGACACATCCTGATGCTTGTGCCAGCCTGTGGATCCTAGGTGTGCAGGGGTGCTTCTCCTGGCTCGGTCCCTGCCACAGGGCTTTCTTGGGAGGTCCCACTACTCACCCACCCCCAGGCTTGAGCCCAGAGGAAATGGCAACTTTCTTCGCTGGGAAAGTGTTCTGGGGCTCAAGCACTTAGGGGTTTTCAGAGTCAACCGTCAGAGGCGAGGGAGTTTCTCTGCTGGTGGTGACGGGCTCTCAGGGTGCTCACAGCCTTGCAAGCAGACCGCTGCGGTCTGCAGGGAAAATGCCGACTGTGTTTATTTTTCACCTGAGCCTGCAGGAAGTGTGTGTGGGGGGGTGCAGCTAGGAGGGGGTAACCAGGGGCAGACTGGCCATGCCCAAACTGGACTCCGGAGCAGAGGAGACCTGTTCAGGAGTCCCCCATTTCCATTTCCCGGTACCTGGCCCTACCTTGGCTCCCTTCCTCACTCCAACCTGCTGAAGAGGATGGGAGGCTAGGGCAGTGGAGCTGGAGACTCTAGCCAGACGCTAAAGAAACAATCCTAGAAGGGAACACCTTTAGGACAGTAGGTGGGGGTTGGGAAGAGAGAGACAATAACAGGAAGGACCACCTCTGCCAGGAGGGAGCTGGTCACCAGGTAGGTGGCACATATAAGCTGGGTGGCTGTCAGGGGTGTTGGAGTGCTACAGGCTGGTAGGAGCAGCTGCCAGAGCTCTGGTAAAGTGCAGGGCTCTAGGGTGCATGCTAGAGACATGCAGACTGCAGCTGAGTCACTGACATGTGCATACATTCCAGCATGCTCTGAGCACTTACTGTGTTGGTCTCCTCCCTTAGTAAGGAGATAGGGGCTGTGCTATTGAGGTGCTTGCAGCCTGGTGGGGACAAGCACCCTCAGAAAGAGAATGGAGGTGGCACTTGAGTCACTGGGCTCCCTGTACACATGCCAAGCCCCAGGTGACCCCACTCTGTCGTCTAGGAAGTCTGGCCCTGAGACAACCTTGTGCTGAAGCCCTGGAGCGGGACGTTCCACTGACTGAAGGGGGCAGGGGGCCCTGTGCCAGACCATGCCCTCTGGCTAGCACCACCAGGCATGGTGGGGGTTTAGGAGGAATGTTATGAACAGCCTACACAAATGTGGAAGGACTGGCCAGGCCCTCAGTGCTTGCCCTGGAGCCCTGGCCTCCCTGGGCTTTAGCTGCTAGGCTGCTTGTCTGCCCCACCCTTGCCCACCCAGCACTTCTGTGGTTTGGCTGCAGACTTCTGCTTAATGAGGCTTTCCCCCAGTACCCAGGGAACACTGCCAGACAGGACTAGCCCACCATCCCCCAGGACCCCTACCCCCCACCTCATTGCCCTGCTACACACATAACAACTATAGGCTGAGCTAGGTCACTGAAGTTTCTTAGGCCCAGCATGACCTGTGCTGCACCCTAGGTCAGGAAGCAAAGCTGGACCTTAGGCAGTGAATGGTGGAATACTTTCTGTCACAGTCTAATATTCTAAAGGGTTCTGAAAGAGTAGGACATGCCCTCAGCTGCCACAAGCCTTGCCTTCGGGCTAGCACTGTCTTGGAACCTATCAGGATAAAAAAAATAAATGCCTTAAAGATCGCTGGGAAACTTACTAGACACTAGGTAGTTGCTCCCCAAAACTCTCGAACAAAGCAAAATGTCAGCATCTGTGACTGATGAGGTGGGTAGGACTAACGTTTTCATTCTGTTTACAAGGAAAGAAACTTCAAGCCCAGATAAGGAAGGAGACTTGCCTACGATACCTGAGTTAAAGGTTAGCCAGATACAGCTGGGTCTCCCAGCTTCCCTCATACATCACCACACACCCGAAAGCTTATCACTGGGGGACTGGGAATGGTGGCGTACATTTTTAATCCCAGCCCTCTCGAGGCAGAGGCAGGTGGATCTCTGTGGGATCAAGGCCAACCTGGTCTACATAGTGAGTTCCAGGCCAGCTGGGACTACAGGGAGACCCTGTCTCAAAAGACCAAAAAAAAAAAAAAAAAAAAAAATTCTGTAGGTGAAGCACTTCTGGGTGTCCTGGGCATACTAAGTAAGCATTAGGGAAGGTGCTAGTGTAATCACAGAGCTCTTGACCCCAGGGAAGGAGACTGTCAGCTGGAGGCCTGGTTGAGGAGGCAGGGAGGATGTGGCTGCTGGTGAGACATGATGATGGCTCAGACTGAGCGGGAAGGAGTCAGAGAGAAGTGGTTGGATCACTAGATTTTGGAGGTAGTGCATTAGAATCTGCTGAGAAATTGGATGTACAGGGGAGAGGGGCAAGAATGACATAAAGATGTCTGGTCTGAAACGGGTCCTCCAGACATGGAAAGGTGGCTCCACCAGTAATGGAAGAGGACCACAGTAGACAGGGCAGAAAGTCAAAGGTTCTGATTTGAGGGCTGAGGATATAGCTCAGTGGTAGAACACTTATGTAATGCGGGAGACCCTAGGTTCAATTCTCAATACCACACATAGAAGAAAGGTTATGATTTGGGTATGTGGAGTATGGCGCAGTGTAGACCTAGCAGAGCTGAGTAGGTATTCAGAGAGTGGAATTCCTAGAGGCAGAGCCTGGAGTCAGAAATATAGAGTCATCATACTGAAGTTTTTTTTTTTTCTATGAGACAAGGTCTCACTTTGTAGACCAGGCTGGCCTTGAACTTGAGAGATCCACCTACCTCTCCCTCTAAAGACATGTGCCACCACACCCAACTTTATTGTTAATTAGGTATATATGTATATATCTGTGGGTATATGCACAAGAATGCAGTGCTCATGGAGGCCAAAGGAGGGCATTGGATCCCCTGGAAATGGAGTTGCAGGTGGTTAGGAACTGACCAGCATGGGTGCTGGAAACTTAAACTCAGGTTCTTTGTTTAAAGCTATATCCTAGGAGAGGAGGGCACAGGGGAATCAGCAAAGGGCCAAGGAAGAGCTGCCAGTGATGGAACTTGACTTAATGGAAGAGAGAGAATCAGTTGTGTCTGACAAGGCTGAGAAATGGGGGAAATGACTGAGAATTGACAACTGAGCTCAGGATCGTAGAAGTGACTGGGGAGCCTGACAGAGGTCATCTTGTGGAAGGATGAGGCAAAAGATTGGCTGGGCCGAAAAGAGAGCAAGAGCCAAAATCTGAAGGCAGCGAGTGAGGCTAGACTTGGCTAAGGCTTCTGTAGAAGGGGAAAGACAGGAGGTGGAAGACAGACAGGGAAAACAGCAGCCTGTTTGTGCCCCAGTGGTAAAGAGTTTGTAAGCTATGGCAGGTCGTCAGTGCCTGAAAGAAATGTTTCCACACATCCCACAGCTGCCCCAGCTCACTCCTCTCTCACTTGATGGACACCTGTCAGGACATTGTCTAGGACAGAGGGAAGCCAAGGTAGCCCAGAATTCAAGGGGAGATGCAGCTTATTGCTGGAGGCAGGAACATAGAAAGATGGCAGGCCAGGGCTATTGCGAGTACCTGACCCGACCAGGCTACATGCCCTAGTGGCAGTGTGGCTCATGCCCAGCTTTGCCTCTGTCCTCACCCTGGATCCCCAAAGGCCAAGTACCAAGGGACCTATGCTAGGCGTCATTCACTTCCAGGCGAGGAAGCGGAAGATCTAAGGATTCCAACGAGATTCACTGCTGGGAGCAAGAAGCGGGGCATCCTCCTACTTGCCCTTGATAACCTCCTGTCATTCTACTGAGCTATGGCCAGTGATCAGTTGTGTGTTCCCAGACAGCAGTATCCCCGAAGATGGGCTCAGCTGTAGGTGTCCCAGAGCCCTGACTTATACACGGGGGCCAGTATAGTAGGTCTGGCAGCGACTACCTGTGGTTGGGTTGTGTGGGGAGCCTCTTCTCAGGCCTGCTGGCTGACTCATTTCTTGACTGAGAACCATTTGACTAATGTGAAAAGCAAGAGTCCTGCGGTGTTGAGGAAACCAGAAGAGCAGGGTCTGGGCAGGTTGTCCCTGGAATGAGCCAAACCCCACCTGACCTCCCTACACTCCAGTTAGCTGCTAAGGGGTCCTGCCCTGTGCCAGTGCATCCAGTTAGGTCTGAGGTGGGACAGTCTGAGAGCTGTAGGAGGAGGAAAAGCCATTGGGCCTCACAGAAACAGGGCATCTCTGGGACTAGGCCAGGAAGGACTTCTGACAGGACAGATGCTGAGTACCCTAAGAATAAGGCTCATTGGAAAGTGGGACCGCACAGACAGTCTCAGGAACTAGGAGGCAGGAAGACAGTGTTGCAGGACACGAGGTATGTGGAGTGGTGCCCTCTACCCTAACGTGTGGGGTTCTGCTTGCCACTTTTGACAGCCCGTGTTGCCCACATCTCACTGCAGCTCTGCCTGCATGCATGCCCCCCTCCCCGTCTCCAATGCCTTCTTCCCTCTGGGCACTCCACATTCACCCAGCCTCCTCATTTTTCAGCACAAGGCCAGTCAGCCCCCACACGGTGTCCCCCAACTCTCTCCTCTCTACGAACATTTCAGCAGTCAACACCCCGCACCTGCACCTGCGGACATCAGCCAGAAGCAAGGTATGGGCTGGGGATGGGGAGAAGCCCATGGAGACTAGAACATGTGGGCCAAGTTCCTGGCTTCTGAGACCCTGTTTGTAACAGTAATAACTGGGGCTTTGCACACCCAGGGCCCAAAGAAAATGCCAGAAAGGAGCCAGGCATGGTGATGTGTACCTGTAGCCCAAGCACTGAGGGGAAGAGGCAGGAAAATTACAAGTTTGAGATCACCCTGGCTACAAAATGAGACCCTGCGAAAAGGGGGGGGGGGGGGGGGGGGGGGGGGGGGGGGGGGGGGAGGGGCGAACCTGCGGAAGGGCGGGCCGAGACTCCGGCCTGGGTAGAGTGCACCCCCCTGTGAGTGAAAAGGGAGGGCGGCGAGGGGGGGGGGGGGGGGGGGGGGTGGAGAGGAAAAGAGAAAGCCAAAAAAGAATTGTGTGCATCTGAGGGCAAGGGAGGTAGTGCCAGGTTCAGAACTGAGGCTTCAGGTTGAGGTAGGAGACTCAGGCCTGTGGGTGGCCCCCACTGCCAATGTGGGAGCAGCAGCCATGCATTACTGGTAAATGTAAGACTTAAAAGACTTTACCTCCCCCAGTGAGAAAATGGAAAGTGGTGGTTGTGATGGCTGATTCACCTCAGCCTCAGCCAAAGTCATTCTGAAATCCACCATTGTCAGCTGTGGGAAACCTGCTGACTCAGCCCGGGCCGGTGGAGCTAGGTTCCTCTAGACCAGGAGGCCTGCTTTTTGCCCTGAGGGCCTGGACAGAGAGAGCCCCCAGCAGAGGCCAGTGACAGAGCAGCAGTGGACCAAGGAGTGGTGAGGTCTGGTTCTGCTGCTGAGTGACTTCAAGCTCTGCCTCTGGCCAGCCAGTGTCCTAATGCAAGTCACCCCGCACCTCTATCCTTGGTTCCCTTGCTTGTCATAAGGCCACTGTCACCACCCTAGGATACGTCTGAACAAACCAGTTAATGTCTGGACCTCTAGCAAAAGGAAGTGTGATCTTAGAGGCCCCAGTAGAAAGCTCTACCGTAGTAACACCCCTTGGTCAAGCTGGCCCACTTACTTGGCCCTTCCTACTGCAGTTCACAGGCCACTGCAGACTCCTGACCTCTCTGGATTCTACTCTCTCACCTCAGGCAGCATGGGACAGCTCCCCCCCACTGTGAGCTGGTAAGTGTGGGCCTGCTGGGAAAGGGGCACAGTGAGCCAGTTGGACAGTACCTACTGTCCCATGTTTCACTTCCATCCATCTCGCTGAGCCCATGCTGCCCGCTCTGTAAATACCAGGGGCTGACCAGCAGCTCTAGCCCAAGCTCTGAGCTAGCAATCCCTGTGCCTGCCTGGTCTGTAGGCATTCCCTAGGTAGCTTGACATACTTAAGAGGAAGGAAAGCTGGAAGCTTTCCCTATTTCCTAGGTCTCAACCCTACTGCACCTGAACTCTCCAACATATGAGAAAGAAAAGGTCACCCTGATCAGGGAGGTGACAGTGTGAATAGCCACCAAAGAGGCTAGTGCCTCTTAGCTGTCTGGTGATCAGGGACAGACTTCCTGTAGCTTCAGTGCCTGCTGCTGTTTGTCCCTTCTCAGCAGAGACAGGGTCCCTCTTAGTCCCTACACGCCTGCTTGAGCCAAGCTCCTGATGAGCCTGTTTGGAGCTGGACCAGGCATGACTGTGGGCCACAGTCTGTTTTCAGCTGGAATTGGGCCTCAGCAGGTCACTTGGCTTTTTATTCATTAACCAAGGCATGACCTAGGCAGGTCTCTAACCCCTCTGGGATGGGGCAGGCACCCAGCAGCAGCAAGGGTTGTCTTCCCAGGAAAGCCTGTCAGCCTGGGTCCACCTGTTGCTGTTCATTTGCCCTGATCCACAATCAGTACACACCTCCATTTCCAGATTTTGGACGAAGCACCATTCTGAATACAAGTTAGGCCTAACCTCATGATTACAGGACCAAGGTGGGGTAGGAGTACCTGGAGCTTAGCCTGATGGGACCAGGCCAGAGTTCCACACATGCAACTCTCTGGCCAGCCTCCTGAAGAGTCCCTTAGACCAGGAGCTCCAAAGACCAGGAGACCTGAGCCTCAAGAGGGTATCTCCCACTAAGGTGCCAGTGAAGGGCTGTAGGCACAGGGAGAAGCACTATGTTCTCAGATCTGCCCAGGTAGGACTGACCTGCCAAGAGACAAGCAGGAATTTTAGACCTCTGCACTGAGTCCTGTATCAGGCAGGACTCTAGGTGCCAGTGAAACTCTGCTGAAGCAGACTGATCCTTAGGTCCCTGCCCTGTCAGAATTCAAGTTTGCTTAGTGGCAACCAGGCAGAAAGCCAGACATTTACAGGGCACTGTTAACACCATCTTGACTAGGAACTGTAGGAGCCCAGAGGGATACCTCATTCAGCTTGGGACCTCTGAGCTTTTGGGAAAAGGTCACAAGATCGGAAGAATAAAGGGTTAAAGCAGGCATATTGGGGCAGGAGAGCAATCCAGACAGCATCAATAGAGGGTGCAAAGGCCCTGGGACAGTTATCAGCTGTGAACTGTCAAGGAAAGGTGGCAGGCTGGAAGGGTTCCAAGGGAAGCTGTTAAGCTGGGTCCTAGAGAAGGCTGCCACTTCTAACCCTGAAACTGGAGCACAGGCTGTCAGATGCAGCACACACTGGAGTGATCCCAGCAGAGATCCACCTGTCTCACACTATGTACAGGTCCCATCATGCAAGGGACAAAAGTCCTTCCCCATGTCTGGCTGGAATTCAGATGGCTAACAGCTATCTCTCCCAACCACAGGCCCAGCCCTCCTCTCTACCCCCTGTCCCCTTCCTGCGGATATAGACAGCACTTCCCTGCCCCCACCGCAGCCCCTGGCGCCCCCTACCCCAGGTGAGTCCCCATCCCTGCAGCCAGGCTCCTGCTTCCTGTTGCCCAGGCTTCAGTGCCCACACAGGGCTATGCTCAGGCCAGTGCTTACCCTGTGTTAGTTGTTTGTCCCTCTGTCTGTCTGGAGTCTTTCGCTGCTCTGTGCCTGCGAATGAAACTAGTGAGCGATGGGAAAGAGGCCTCGGCCCAGGGCACCCTGGACAGAGGATCCCAGACACCAATGTATACCCCCTGGTGGGGCATCCCCTGAGCTCTGCCCAAGGTGAAGCAGTACCTTTTGGTGTCCCTAGCCTCTGGTCTCTCGAGGCTGCCTGCTCAGGGATCCCACATCTGTACAAGCAGCAAATGGTACAGTGATCTTCACACAACAGCAGGAAAGAGGTGGGAGGGGAGAGTACACAAGTCCCCTCATTCAGCTCATGCTGACAGACACAGACCTACGTGGTGCCAGGCATGCCATTCAGCAGCTTAGGGTGGGAGGTGGACACAGCACCAACAACTGAATGGGCCAGCTGGAAGATGGGCAAGCCCCAAGGAGACCCCAGCCAGACGTGATGGGTCAGGGAGAAGTGCCTGGGAATGCTAACATTTCCTGAGAGGTGGACATAGAAAAGCTAGAGCTGGCTGCGTGTGGGGAGTGGGAGGCAGGAGGATAGGATGAGTTACATTAGTGTGGCTGCTCAGGAGGGCTGTGCAGGCCCCAAGGAAGAGCCTGGGTTTTATTATTTTAGTCAGGGCTCCTGAGCTGGAGTGGGTCAGAGCATTCTTTTAAAAGGTCAGTCTGGCTATTGTGTGGAGAGGGGCCTGAGGAGTCAAGTGGGAGAGCGAGGAGGTCCACAGGCTGCCACAGCCTCTGCAGCCTTTTGGTAGGGACAGGTCATAAGAAGGGGTCAGATTAAACACTGCTTGGGACTTATTCAGTAGCCACCTGATGAGCAGGTATGTGGATTTTTGCCATGTCTGCAATGCTGGGTGCAGGTATTTGCCTCTCTTTGTGTACTTGTGTCCAGGCCAGTGGGTATTCCACATGTCCTCGTGCACTGTGCAGGGACCCTTGTGTGTGTCCAAAGTCTGGCCTGTAATGCCTGCTTTAGTGTCCGCTCTCCTGCCTCCAGGTTCACCCACCCATCCTTGATGCTGGGATCTGGTGTACCTGGTCACCCAGCTGCCATTCCTCACCCAGCCATCGTGCCTTCCTCGGGGAAGCAGGAGCTTCAGCCCTACGACCGTGGCCTGTGAGTGCAAACACATGATGGGAGGAGGGGGACAAGAAGGTGTGAACCAGGCAGGTGAACAGAGCAACGCTCAGCCAGGATGCATATGCCTCCCACCAGGTCCAAGGCCTGCTTCCTAGCAGCTCAGAGGACTGCCAGGAGGGCCTGCCAAGCCTCGTGTGGCTCTGGCACTGGCCATTACTATGCTTGTAGTCTTCAAAAGCAGGAATGCAGGGCTGGAGAGATGGCTCAGTGGTTAAGAGCACTGACTGCTCTTGCAGAGGACCCCGGGTTCAATTCCCAGCACCCACATGGCAGCTACGAACCATCCTTAACCCCAGTACCAGGAGAATTCGACACCCTCTTCTGACATCCATGCATTGCACAACATGGGTGCACTCACATACATGCAGGCAATACTCATACACATAAAATAAAAATAATTTTTTTTTTAAAGCAAGAGTGGGTGGGAGGGAGGGGACCTGAGAACAAAGGGGATGAGTCTGTATGCTTTTCTTATTTGGCCATACCAGCCTCGTAAGGAACTTAGCTGTCTGCTCATTCATGTAGGGTGGTTAAGAGTCCACTTACAAAACCCTACACTAGAGAGCAATGGCATTAGGTGATGGTCACTGCACGATGCTGGGTGGGGGTTGGGGAACTGTTTCCAGATAAAGCAATCTGCATGTGTGCACCACAGGAAAACACAGGCAGAATCCAAGGCAGAGAAGGAGGCCAAGAAGCCAACCATCAAGAAGCCCCTCAACGCTTTCATGCTTTACATGAAGGAGATGAGAGCCAAGGTCATCGCAGAGTGCACACTCAAAGAGAGCGCTGCCATCAACCAGATCCTGGGCCGCAGGGTGAGGCCATGGGGAGGCAAGCTGGCAGGGATGGGCCCAGCCCTGTTCACCCTGGTATACCTTGAGTTTCCCTGATGCATCCCAACCGTCCCGCTTCCCTGTTGCAGTGGCACGCGCTGTCTCGAGAAGAGCAGGCCAAGTACTATGAGCTGGCTCGCAAAGAAAGGCAGCTGCACATGCAGCTGTACCCAGGCTGGTCGGCACGGGATAACTACGTGAGTGGCCAGGGACACACCACAGGGATAGATGAGAGCCTACGCTACCATGTCCCAGGCCATGACTTCAACAGGGTCTTGACAGTACAGACAAGGTGTGGGGCATAGAGGGACCAAGGCTTCCTTGACTACCTCAGAAGAGGCATGCTTGGGGAACTACTCCTAAAGGCAGTGCTCCATTCCAGAATGCACTCACATATGGGGCGACTGCCATCTGGGAAGGGAAGGAAGGGACCTGGAAATCAAATCCCTCCTGCCATTGCTGTTCACACACGCGAGCAGGCTGGGAGAGGGAGGCACCCCTAAATGTACCTGCTCGAAAGTAGCCTTTCAGGTACAATCAAGAAACAGGAACCCCAGGGTAGGAGGGGCCTATATATGTTTAGAATTCCCTGGGGCAAAAGGTTGCAGACAGCCCAGTGTCCACCCCCCAGAACTGAGCATCCTTTTTGTTCCTGGCAGGGAAAGAAGAAGAGGCGGTCAAGGGAAAAGCATCAGGAGTCCACCGCAGGTAAGGCCTGCTTCAGCAGTATGTTCCCATTTCAAGAGCAGCCCTGCTCTGGCCCAGAGGGAGGGGCAGAATACTCAGCCAGGAAACAAGGTCTGCCTCTCACAAGTCTTAATTCCATGCAACAACTTAGCGATGTCCAGGAAGGACCAGCACAAGTCCCTGGCACTTTTGCAGCCCTACTTGCACTGGAGGCTGGTGAGGAACTGATCATGTGGTTCCATACCTAACCCCCTAAAAATCATGCTGGCTAGTTGTGCTGAAAAGGAAAGCAGGCTATCTGGGCAGAGGCTGAGTCCAGGCCCCACAGTGGTCACACAGCTGCTGACTGGTACCTGGTGATTTCTCCATTCCTCTACTGCATGGATAACTCAGGGAGCCCACTCTGCTGTAGGTCTCTCCTGTCCCCAGCTCTTGATGATTCAGATGCCATATTCATGACATTCTTAGCTGTGCTACCTCCACAGAGGGAAATGTCCCTAGCCCTTTCTGATAGGAATGGGTCCTTTCCATCTAAGTATAGAGCATAGGTATAAGGCCTTTGACTTAGGAGAATGTGGGTCAGAGAGGGCAAGTGGGCACTGACAATGAGGAAAAGCTGGATAAAATAGGCAGGTAGTTGGCAGGAGAGAATGGATGGCCCCAAGACAGAAGATTCAGGATTCCAAGAGGCTCCCTGTGCGATGGAGAGCAGTGCAAGGACCCCTCTGTACCCCACCATTCTTCCCACTGACTCTTGCCCAGCTGGGTGACCACCTTTTCTGATACCTTGCTCTGAGTCTTAGGGCTCCCCCTGGGGCTGGCTATGCCATGGAGAGATCCATTCTGCCTGTGGGGGCTGGAGGGTGTCTGTAACTGGCTAACACTGATGTTACCTCTTCTTTCTGGGCCCTGCTCTGCCCTGCTGCCTGCCTGCTCACTCTCTGCCCTGCTCTGCCCCTCTGGCATGGCTGTGAGCAGACCCTGGTTCGCCTAAGAAATGTCGTGCTCGCTTTGGCCTCAACCAGCAGACGGATTGGTGTGGTCCCTGCAGGTGGGTTTGTCCCCACCATCACTCTCCCTTCGCTTCAAGCTGCTTCCCTGACTGCACATGTTCTGCTGGGCCTGCAGTCCCTTCTTTGGTCCCTCAGACCCCCAGCAAACCCAGGAGAAAAGGGAACCCATGCCTCCTAAGAATCTGAGTGCACACTGAACATAGCTGGTGGAGAATGGTATAGGTGGAACAAGTAGAGAGAGACAGAATGTTCTAGAAGGGAAGAAAAGCAGTCTTAAGCAGATGGCTTTGGTGCCAGCCAAGCCTACTAGGTCCTGGAAACAAATCTATCACACATCATTCTTTAAGTAGCTTGAACCCCTGCTCCCGCCTCCAGGTGATTAAGGCCCACCCACCTCTCCTGTAAGGTGGGATTCCTGCTTGAGACAACAAAGTGATGATGAAGATGAGACTCCTCCAAGTACTCTGACGGCCAGGCAGCACTGACTTGCCATTTTCTGTCTATTGAGAACAGAAGGCTAGAGAAGTTGAGGGGGGGCATCCAAGGACAAAGAGCAAAGAAATGGGTGTGGGGTGTGCACACAGCACAAAACCACCTCCATCCCCACAAGAGGCCCTATTCCATCTGTTCTGTGCTACTCAAAAGACAAACTGTTCAGGTGTGGTGCATGCCTGTAACCTCAGCACTGAGGAGGCTGAGACAGGAAGACTGTCAAGCTCCCAAAAGCAGGCCAGCCACCATTACTATCCGGAGACCACTGAAAAAACAAACCGGCGCTATGTCTTTAATCCCAGCACTTGGGAGGCAGAGGCAGGCAGATCTCTGTGAGTTCCAGGCCAGCCTGGTCTACATAGTGAGTTCTAACAGGCCAGCTGGGGCTGCAGGGAGACCCTGTCTCTAAAAGACTAAATAAAACAAAAAAAACCCACCCCCCAGAAAGCACTATAGTAGTAATGGGCAACAGTCACTGAGGATTTCTTTTTCCACTCACATGGGTGTGAGGACTGGGACTGTTCACAAGCACTGTCACTCTTGCCGTATGCAAAGAGAAGTCCCACAAACACACATGAAGCAGCTTAAAGACCCCCACAAGAGATGAGAAGTTCCCCTGGAAAACATACTGTCCACAGGTCTACCCACAAAAAGTCCCTGCTGCCGCCTTGTGGCTGTTTTGGAACCTGCACTTGTCCTATGTCTGGGCCAGGCAGGGCTGAGGGGACCATACTCCAGTCATGGGACAAGGTGCCACGCCTGCGCAAGGACAGCCATTTTTTGGTTGTGGTGTATGACTATGAATTCACCCTCTGTTTACAGATAACTCTCTTCACTATTCCTAGGAGGAAAAAGAAATGCATTCGGTACTTACCCGGAGAAGGCCGCTGCCCCAGCCCCGTTCCTTCCGATGACAGTGCTCTAGGCTGCCCCCGGTCCCCTGCTCCCCAGGACTCACCATCCTATCTTCTGCTGCCCCACTTTCCCACAGAAGTGCTTGCTAGCCCTGTGGAGCCAGCACCAACGTCCTCAGTTCTCTCTGAAGCTCTCAGTCTCCCAGCCCCTGGACTCCCACAAGCCCCCCACAGCACCCTCCAGAACACACAAGTACAGCAACAGGAATCTCAGAGACAGGCAGCTTAGCATGCACAGGACACCTGGCCTCCTCCACAGGCCCACCCCTAATCTAAGGATGCAACAAGAGGCCCAAAGTATATAGAAATCAGGTAGGGGCCCTTTTAAGGGCCCAGTGAAGATTTCAGAGACTGCACAGCTTTGGTCTGAACCTGAGTCTATCTGTTCAAGTGGTAGGGATCAGACCTGAGTAGATGTGTCCTCTCATTAAGGACATTCTGGCCTATGGCAGTCACACCTGTTCTTTTTTTAATCATCTGTCTTGCTAGCCATGTCTTGTTAGCAGGATGCCCTGTGGCCTTGCTTTTTGTTGTTGTTGCTATAGGTGAGATGGACCGGACTGAGCTCAGCTGCCTTCTCTACAAGTGCCTCTTCAGTCCCCTGCCATACCCTCCCCATGCCAGATACTTCATGGACCAAGAACGACCTGGTTTATCAAACAAGATGTTCTTGTCACAAGTCAAGATAACAATGCTTCTCTCTCCTAAGGGAACTGAGAAGCTCTGTTTACAAAATACCAGCTGTTGTTCCTAAGCTGAACCAGAGAAAGCGGCCTCTTACCATGTTTTCACGAGCTTGCAAGAGGAGGGAATGGAATGGTTGAGATCTATCAGCCTGAGCAGCAGGACTAACCTGACTACCCTACTGCAGTGTGAGTGGTAGGGGGCATTTAGCTGTAGCTGGAATGACTTGGAAATCTTTCCCCAGACGCTCACCAGCCGAAGAAGCCGTGGTAGGCCATAGGCACTAGGAGCTACAGTCAGTCTGAAGAAGTCATGGCCCAAACTCAGTATGCACCCTTCCCCATCAATCAGAGCCTTTTCACTTCGCCTGTCAGTCAAATCAGCTCTTAGGCAGGTGTGAGAGTGCAACAAGTGTCCCGACAGCCAGAGCCCCCCTTGCAGCATTTAGACCAGGCCAGCTTCAGTTTCTCTGTGGGGCTGTGGGAAGAACCAGGTCTGTTACAACTTGGGCAAGAGCCCGTAAAACCTCTAGTGGTGGACATGGGTTTTCACCACATACTATAAAAATCTTTGAGCCAAGCTTCAACCCTGAGCCTTGAAAAAGTTTTTTTTTTAATTTAATTTTGTTTTTTGCATTCTTCTCACTGTATATAGCCTGAAATCCAAAGAAAAGGGGCTGTGTACCTTATACATCCTTCAGAAAAGCCTTAGTTCCATGTTAGCCACTGGTTTCTCAGAATCCAAAGATGATGTATTCTAGGGTAGTGTTTTAAGTTCAAGACTGGCGAGCATGGTGGCGCACGACTTTTAATCCCAGCCCTCCAGAGGCAGAGGCAGAGGCAGGTGGACCTCTGAGTTTGAGGTCAATCTGATCTATACAGTGAGTTCCTGCCAGAGCTACACAGAGACTGGAAAAAAAAAAAAGACAAATGTAGTGTTAAAAATATTTTTGTATTGCTAATGCATTATAGAAAAACTTTTTTAAACATGAAAATAAAGATACTTTTTACTGGGTTTTTCAAAGCCTGACTGGAGTGACAAGCTGTTGTAGTTAACCATAGCTAACACATTCCTTTTCTTCCTAGCAGTCAGAGAACTTGAGTTTATTCCCTACTGTGTACACAACATTCCCAAGATTTCCAAACTACAGAAACCAAGGATTACTGTCATCTCCTGCAAGGTCTGACTTGGTCTGGCCCAACCTTTACAGCTGAGCTCATGCTGCATGTAAACTCACTTTTTAAGCTTTACTATTAATGTTCTTAATCCTCTACCACTACAGCCAAGGCAGGTTAGCCTACTCCCCAGTGCCTTTGAGCATCTGTAAGCTGGCAGTGCCATCCAGACTGCACAGACTTTCCAACATGAGTCACTCAGCTTATCAAGGAAAACAAGCACTCAAATCTTACAACCTTATGTCATAAAAATCCTACACAACGCTATCTTAACAAGCACTCTTTCCTCCCAAAACTTCCATTATTTATCTCATTCTCATACAAGACATGCAAAGGTTGGATGATAATCTACAAGCTTTTTCTGTGCAGTGTACACCAGACAAACAGTAGATGGACAGCCAACTTCTGGAAACTTGTTACCAATATAACAGGTGTCAAACCACCTCAACAGCTCAGGCAATCACTGGATGAGTGTTAGGCAAGAAATGTCTTACAAGGGACAGCTATTGGGCCACCATCCTGTGCTATGGTTTTTAGTCTCGAGTGAATCTCTGCATATAAGGCCAGCCTGAGCTCCATGGTAAGGCTGTCCTAAGAAGTAAATGTAGGATATGGAAACTGCAATCCCAGACTTTCACACCTCTGTGGGAGAGAATACTAAAGACAACAGTCCTTCTCTGGACATTGTTCCATTTTAAAGAATTCTCTATTGGCCTAGTTGTTTGAAAAAACAAAAAACCAACCCTATGTTCTAACCAGGGCTTGTGCAAAGTTGGGTTTTTACATCTGATCTACTGTGTCACTTAAGAGTACACTGGGCACATGAATAATATCCTCTTTGTGTAGTGGGGTGAGGTGTGCTGGTGGCATACAATGGAGGATGCTTTGGCAACTTTATTAGAATCAGATCAGCTCTTTACAAAGTGTAACTTCAGAAAGGAAATTCAAATCCTAAATCACACCACTACATTCCTGAGACTGGAGGATGACTTGAAAATGCAACCTAATTCAAATACAAACATCACACCAGTACCCTCAACCAACCCAGTTTTCCGAGCCACCAAAGGGCAGGATACTCTTATGCTTTCTTACCCATTCCAAGACAATTGGTGTACTTACAAATTCTTGGAAACGGTGTCTGATTGCTCTTCTGTGGCAACCAAGCCCCATCCTGTGCTGAGGACATGTAAAGGCTCAGACTAGCAAGATTAAGCCTTTCTAGGTCTCCTAAATTTGAAGGTGGGCGTTTCCCCCCCACCCCTTTTCCAAGCCACGGCTGGACTCTTCCAAGCTATATCTATCTTTTGAATGGCTCCTGTGTCTCAAGTTCCTTTTGGCTGTGGAGGCCTAACCACGCTCTGGAATATTGCTAGCCTCTGTCAGAGCACAAGAGCAGGGATAGGAAGGTCACAAGAACAGAATCGTGCTTTATACTCATTGATTCCGGTATGTTTCTAGGAAAAAACACTAGGTCAGGGTAGCAAGGCCAGATCCAGTCCTACTTGCCAGGCAAATGTATCAAAGTAGAATTCACATTTAAGACCCAAAACTAGTAACAGCCTTGAGCTGGGTTTTCTTTTTGGTCAGGAAGGCTGTCAGCTCTCTGGCAGTCTCTTCGGAACTTTCTCCTTAGTGCTCCTCAGTGGTCTGAATGCCTGTAATTCCAACACTCAGGAGGGAGGCAGGAGGACGGGTACAGAGAGGGCTGGAGACAAGCCTGGGCCTCAGGAGGGGTGCAGGTTTATGTCTTGGTGTTTACTCTTTACATTTTAGGTGCTGAACAAGCCTTTTAATCCCAACACTTGAGAGTTCAAGGCCAACCTCGGGTACACATTAAGTCCCTGTCTCAGAATAAAATAAAGTGGGGCTGGCAAGATGCCTCAGCAGGTAAAGTGTCTATGCCAAGACTGGTGGTCTGAGCTCAATTCTCAGAACCCACCTGGTTCTGAAAAGAGAGAACAGACTCCCATAAGTTGTGCTCTGATCTCCAGGTGAGCGTGCATATACGCACACTTAAATGTAAAAAATTTTTACAAAGTGAAAGTCTGACAGGGACTTCTACAAAGTTGCTCTCTCAAATAGACTTTGGCTCCTAAATTGTGTTAACTTCCCCAGTCCCAATTACTGCAATCACCTACCTTTTAGTCCAGCTCTCCAACTGTTCTAAAAACTTTATGAATCTTGGAAAAAAACCTTATAGTGAAACCTAGCTAATGTATTAGAACTTTCTTCTACAATATGGGTTCGATCCTCACTCTGTCACAGGAAGCGACAGCACTAAAGCACTGCAGCACTGTATTGTTGGCAGCAGCTATGCACTTTCCATGCCACAGATCAAACTGATACCTGCACGTCAATCCTAGCTGGCAATCACCAAATCTGCCAAATACCTTCCTCGTTTTTTCTGGCACATTAAAAGGCATTTCCAAATTAAGCCTGGAGGTTAAGGAGTTCCTGGTCTGGAAGAGTGCTTACCTAGCATGCACAAAACACTACATTTGATCCCCAGCACTGCATAAAAACCAAATGTGGTGGTGCACTACTGTATTCCTAGCACTTAGGAGTATTAGAAGTTCAAAGTCATCCTTGGTTACATGAGTTGTGAGTTCTAGGCCAGCCTGGGCAACACGAGACCCTGTCTCAAAAAAGGACAGTACTGAAGAATGTTTTCCTAATTCTTCATCAGTAACCACTTTCTAAACCGAGGTTTTGACATTTACACCTTTCACGTTCTGCTCTAAACTCACCCATTTCATGGGGTCTTTCACTCCATCCAGATGTACATGAATAGCACTGCTAAATAAAGGTAAGCCCTGCTGGGATTAAAGGCATGTGCCACTACGCCCAGCATGTATTTTTATATTTTAATGAAAGTTTAAAAGATAAAAACCCATCTTAAAGATGGCAACACCAGACTACAAACCAGGTATGAGTCACATAATGTTGTAGTTTTCTATCTCTGTATAGAAAACAAGCGGAAGCCAGGCATGATGGTGCACATCTACATCCCAGCAGCACTCAGGAGGCTGAAGCAGGAAGACTACGAGCCTAGGCTATTACATAGCTAGACCCTGTCTCAAAGAAGAAAACAAATGGAATTAAGTAGACAACATAAAGGACTTTACTAGTAAGAAGAATTTAAAGATCTGAAAGGTAGAAGTTATTGTCAAGTGATAATCTAAGCCACACCTAACAGTAACTGATGATCAACAGGGGCGGGGGAGCTGGAAAGAAGGCTCAGCAGTTAAAAAGCACTGGCTGCTCTTGCAGAGGATCTGGGTTCGATTCCCAGCACCCACATGGCAGGTAACAACAATCCATAACTCCAGTTCCAGGGATCCAACGGCCTCTTCTGACCTCTGAGGGTATTGCATGATACAGGTGCACCTACACACATGCAGGCAATACATTCATACACATAAAAATCTGTAAAAATACAAGAAAGTAATATGGCTGCAGATGACACTGTTATCTAGGACAGGAAGTGCTGGTCGAGTGCTTGTTTAGCAGGTGTCAGGTCCTAAGTTCAATCCCCAGTATTGCAAAAATAAACCTTTCTACTATAAAGGGGAAGACACAAATAGTGGCAGAGCAGTTATGTGTTTAAGAACTAAGCACTAAGGCTAGAGAGGGCTCAGCAGTTAAGGGCACTGGCTGTTCTTCCAGAGGACCAGGGCTCAGTTCCTAGCACCTACATCAGGCAGCTCACAACTGCCCCATAACTCTAGTTCCACAGGATCTGAGAGCCTGTTCCTGCCTCTGTGGGCACCCACACATGTGGCAAATATACCGACACACCCTCATATACATAAATGAGGAGAAAAAAAAAATCTTTTAGAAAGAAAACACTGGGCCAGGTAAGGTGGCACATGCCTCACCTGTAGTCCCAGCACTTGGAAAGCAGAGGGAGGTGGATCTCTGTGAGTTCGAGGCCACCCTGGTCTATGTAATGAGTTCCAGGCCAGCTGGGCCTACAGGGAGACCCTGTCTCAAAAAGACAAAAAAAAAAAAAAGAAAAAAGAAAATATTGTTTTTAAAAGAAAAAGGAGTGGAGGGTGCAAGATGGCTCAGGGTATAAAGGCTCCTTTATCCTATCAAACCTGACAGCCTGAGTTCAATCCCTGCAGCATACCTGGTGGCAGGAAAAGAACCAAGTCCCATTGAAGTTGTCCTCTAACCTCCACAAATGTACCATGGTGTGTGCGTGCACACATATACACCAAGTAAAAATAATCTTTAAAAAATTTTAATGTTATGCTGGGTGTGGTGGTATAGGCCTTTTATCCCAGCCAGCGGGAGGCAGAGGCAGATGAATCTCTGGAAGATCAAGGCCACCCTGGTTCACATCATGACTTCCAGGTGGGCTGTGACTAGAAAGACCCTGTCAAAAAAAAATTTTTTTTAATGTTAAAAAACCCAAAACCCAGGGCTGGAGAGATGGCTCAGCGGTCAAGGGCACTGACTGCTCTTGCAGAGGACCCGGGTTCGATTCCCAGCACCCATATGGCAGCTACAAACCATCCTTAACTCCAGTTCCAGGGGACTCCAAAGCCCTCCTCTGACCTCCATGGCAATGCATGACACAGGTGCACTCACATACATGCAGGCAATACACTCATACACATAAAATAAAAATATTTTTAAAAAACAAAAACAAAACCCAGCACTTGGGAGGCAGAAGCAGGCCTGTGAGTTCAAGGCCAACCTAGTCTACATAGTGAGTTCCAGGCCAGTTGGGGCTACATGTTAACAGCCTCCAGTGAGCAAAGGCATAAATTGCCTAAGAATCTTTTCAAAGAATCTTTATCTCAAAAAAAAAAAAAAAAAAAAAAGGCCAGCGAATTTAAACCCATTGAACATGTGGTGAGTCTTGGGGGGTTTTTTGGTGTGTGCCTGTGTTTGGTTTTTTGAGACAGGGTCTCCCCCTGTAGCCCCTGCTAGCTTGGAACTTACACCAGGCTGGCCTCAAACTCAAAGAGATCTGCCTGCCACTGCCTCTGAGTGCTGGGATTAAAGATGTGTGCCACCATCTCTGGCTTCCATCTTATATAAGTGAAGAGACACATTTACATCCACAAAAGCAACTGCTCACTGCCTACTAAATAACCTTTTTATTGAAAAGTATCTTGCACTTATGATGGCTGTTTTATGTTAAAGATGTTACTTTTTACATGCAAGTAGTGTTTTTTCCCATGTGGGCACACTGATAATAAGATGACATACCACATGAAGTAAGTGTCTTTAATTGAAAAGCTAACAAATTATCTAGTTACATCCCCACCTCCCAAAGCACAAACTGGGTACTAAACTAATCTCTAGGCAACGTATTCAAAGCTGAGATTTAAAAAACAAAAGAAAAAGACAAATGAAGTCAGTCCTCAGGTCCAATTACGAAGAGCCCAGCTACATGCAGGCTAGGCAGAAGCAGGGCTGCCTCACTTGGGTCTGTAAGATCCCATCAACCCCATTGGAACATCAGCTTCAAGTCACCCTTTTCCAGTTTCCAAATCATGAATAAAGACTGTATTTTGTTAATTCTATTACAGAATACTTTTCATAAGTTGTTTTATTTACAATGCCAACTCTGAAAAGCTCACTGACGTTAACTGGACAATAAACTAGGCAGAAATCGCTTTACAGAAAGAGCCCAAAATGCCACTTTCTGCAGAGAACCCTAATTCCATTTTATTCAGAGTAAAGAAAAAAAAAACAACTTCCACTCATAATAGAAGTGACTCAACAACCATAAGTTTGGGATCTACTGGAACTACACATGCAGTGAGGACATTATGCTAACACAACTACTTGCTGCTGCATTTACTATTAACAATTATAAACAGAGCAGTGCAACTAGTATCGGCGCCATCCTCATAGTGTCGGCACAGCACTTCACTTCTCCTCACACCACTGGTTCTCTTTGCGCACCTAGAAGAGAGACACAAGAGGTCCCTTGAACATTGAAGACTCCCAAGCACTACCCACTCCATCCAACAGTGCATGGTGAGAAGGGCAGATGGAAAGCTGGGCAAGTGTCAAGTTAAGTAAGAGCGCATGCCTTAATTCCCGTTCTTGTGTCTCCTCAGGTATTTATTCTTCCCAGAAGTCATCAAAAAAGCAAGAGCAATGGGGCAATTACAGTTCCAATCACCAAATCTGGCAAGTAAATTCAGTTAATTCTTTCTTGTAATTTCAGTTCGTTGTCTTGTCAACAAAATCATTCTGACATTATCATTTATTATCTCACCATAAGGTTCCCTAAAGTACTAGTATACACTCAACTTTGGAGCCTGCTTTTCTAAAGCCAGCTATTCAAGGCTTATATACAAGGTCCCAGGTAGAAAAAGACTGCTAATGAATTAAGAGCCCCTTTAATTCAAAATCCATTTTTCTTATGTTTACAAAAGAACAATATCATCTAAGAGCTTAGAGTAAGAGACAGACCAGTAAAAAAACCAGTATATGGGGCTGCAGAGATGACTCAGTGGTTAAGAACACTGACTATTCTTGTAGAAGACCCAGGTTTGAATCCCAGCATCCACATGGCAGCTAATAACTGTCCATTAACTCCAGTTCCAGGGGGATCCGACAGCCTCTTCTGACCTCCGCAGGCATTGCACGACACGGGTGCACTTACCTACATGCAGGCAATGCACGCATACACATAAAAAGAAAAAAAAAAAGTAATCACAGATAATTGTGTGCTACCTACCTGGGCTTCCTCCTCTTCAGTAAAGTCATTTTTGATATTGAAGGTCTTACGAATCTCCTCAGGAGTTTTCCCCTTAATCATATTGGCAACAGTCTTGCATGTAACATCAAGCAAACCTTTGATGTCTAAGTAGTTTGCTGCCTGTAAAATGATAGCTGGCTTTCATTAATGTGCACTAGGATGTTTTAATGACTAGCAATGCACACTGAATCAAGTTTAAAATGCTAGATCATTTTAGGAACTTTATGAAACTCTCTACCTTTTAATACTCTTCAATTTAATTTCTTCTTTAATTTTCTTGCATATCGCTTTAACTGTATCCCACAGATTTTTAAGTGTTTTCCCTCAGTTATATTACAAATACTAATTTAAAAATTTCTTCTTTGACCTATAAATTAAGAAATTGCTAGTTTTTAAATATTTGCAGATTTTCCCAGACATTTTTTAAGCTAATTTCACTGAGGTCAGAAAAGCATTTTGATTTTAATTTGTTAAATTTGAAACTTTTGGGGCCCAGAAAATGGTCTATATTGACAAGAACTTATTTGGCTATGATTAAACATAAAGTTCTATATATGTAAGTTAAGACAAATTATCTAATAGTATTTCCAAGTTTTCCTAGTCTTTACTGATTCCCTATTTGTTTTGGAGACAAGTCCTGGAATTTCGATCAATGACTAGAATTTTGAGTTTCACTGTTTATTTCACTTTTCTGAAGTTCTGCTTCTAAGTAGACATTTATGATCATGTACTTTTAATGAATTGATCCCCTTATTATGAAATAGCCCATTCTAAACCTGTTAATACTCTTTGCTCCAAAATCCATTTTATTGGGGGGTTTTGTTTGGTTTTTAGACAGGGTCTCACTGTGTAGCTCTGGCTGGGCTGGAACTCGCTATGTAGACCAGGCTAGCCATGAACTATGAGATCCACCTGCCTCTGCTTCCCAAGTGCTGGGATTAAAAGTGTGCATCCACCACATCCAGCTTCAAAACCTATTTTAATACAGCTATTCCAGCTTTCTTTTGATTAGTGTTAGCATACTCTTTCCATCTCTGAATCTAATTGTGCCTGTATATTTAAAAGTAGGTTTCACCAGGCGTGGTGGTGGGGCATGCCTTTAATCTCAGCACTTGGGAGGCAGAGGCATCTCTGTGAGATGGGGGCCAGCCCATCTGATCGGCCATTTTCACCTCTCAACTGGTGCTTGGATAACTTACACTTAATGTGATTACTAAAACGTATATAGTAGATAGCATTGCACCTGAGTTCAGAGAATATTATCAATTCAGTATCAATGCATTTGGCAAATTCAACTCAAGTGAGTGGTAAAGGCTCTGGAATGAACGGCTTTATCCATTAATAACATACCAGAATGAGTTCGAAAAGTGTTCCTTGGTCAACTTTCAGGAATTCTTGGTCCCAAACAGGGATATCGTCTGTCCGCTTTTCTTTGTTCTCATCATCCTCAGGAGGAGGAGGGTCGTCCTTGTGGTGGGTGCACCACTGAATGACCTACAACAGCAGCAGCTCAAGTCCTCATTCTGTCACAAAGTTCTCATCCCAATGCTGAGGCATTAGTCCTACACTGGGGTAAGAACTAGCTCAAGCTGACATGACAAAAAGTTAATAATCAAACTAATTTTTTTAACATTTAATGTTCCCATCCTGTGTCTCTCTTGCTCTCTCATACACATACACACACACACACACACACACACACACACACACACACACACACACACACACACACACACACACTGACTCTATGGAGGTAAGAGGACAACTTCTCAGGGTTTCTCCCTCCACCATGTGGGTTCTAGGAATCAAACTCGGGTCATCAGGATGGACAGCAAGCATCCTTACCTACTGAGCATCTTGCCAGCCGTTTTTTATTTAATTAAAAAAATACTTTTTTGGAGACCAATTCTCCCTGCAGCCCAAGCTGGCTGGAACATCTCTCTTTCTCATACTCTGTCCATATCCCTTAAGAACACATGCTCCATAAGGGAAGAGATTTTTAATTAATTTGTTGGGTTTTTTTTTTTTGGTCTTTTTGACCTGTAGACCAGGCTGGGCTTGAACTCACAAGGATCCACCTGCCTCTGCCTCTGCCTCTGCCTCCCGAGTGCTGGGATTAAAGGTATGCACCACTACACCCGGCTGATTTGTGTATTTTAGTGTGATATGTGTATGTTTAAGGACAGGTGTGTGCTGGATAGCCTCAGCTGTCAACCAGACACGTGGGAAGAGAGAACTTCCTTTGAGGTACTGCCTCCATTGGACTGGCCAGTGACCATCTCTGTAAGGCATTTTCTTGATTGTTGAGTGATGTGGGAGAGCAGCTCACTATGGGTGGTGCCACCTCTGGGCAGGGAATCTTGGTTGCATAAGAAAGCAAGCTGAGCACAGGCCAGGGGAGCAAGCCTAAAAGCAGCCTTCTTCCATAGTCCATGCTTCAGCTCCTACCTTTAGGTTCTTGCCCTGACTTTAACTTAAAGGCAGATTGTAACTCAGAAGTATTAAGATGCAATACATCCTCTGCTTTCCAAGTGCTTTAGAGTGGTTTTTATCCTTTAGTCACAGCTGTGTCCTAACCTAAAAGACACCAGCTTCTGAATAACTCAAAGCAAAAGTTTTTAGAAGCATTTTACCTTAATACAAGATTATGCTACTTGACAATACTCAATTTTTTAAAAAAAAAATATTTATTTTTATTTTATGAGTGTTATGCCTGCATGTAAGCAACTGCACCTGTGTTGTACAATGCTTGCAGAAGACAGAAGAGGCTGTCAGATCCCCAGTTGTTAGCTGCCATGTGGGTGCTGAGATTTGAACTCCGGTCTTCTGCAAGTCAGTGTTCTTAACCATTGAGCCATCTCTCCAGCCCCCTTTTTTTTTTTCCTTTTGGTCTTTTTGAGACAAGGTCTCCCTGCTGTCATGGAACTCACTATGTAGACCAGGTTGGCCTTGACCTCACAAAGATCCACCTGCCTCTGCTTCCCCAGTGCTGGAATTAAAGGCATGCTCCACCACGCCCAGCTCAAAATTCTTAAGGAAAAAAAAAAAGAACTAGGGGCTAGAGAAATGGCTTAGTGGGTAAGAACACTTGGTCTGCAAGCATGAGGACCTGAGTTCAAATCCCCAGCACTCACATAAAGCCAGGCACGGCTGCACTGAAAGGAGGAGAAAGCCAGATTCTGAGAACCTACTGGCCAGTCAGTCTACCCCAAACCATCAGTTCCCAGTTCAGTGAGAGACCCTATCTTAAGGCAATTGAAGTAGATAAGGTACCCGATGTCCTGCTCTAGTTTCTGCATGCCTGCGTGTGCACATGCACACACCTTCCCCCCAACCCCAACTAGATACAAGCAGCTTCTAAACCACAAAAATATGATTACCCAAGATAAGTGGTAAAAACTTTAATTCTTATAAAAAAGCCTGTTACATAATGCCAACAAACTATACATTTGAACATAGTTAAGATAAATTTTATGTGTATCCTAACAAAATTTTTATTTTTATTTATTTTTGAGACAGGATCTATGTATCTCTTACTGGCCTTGAACTAAAGAGATCCACCCACCTCTGACTTCTGAATGCTGGGATTAAAGGCATGTGCCACCCAGACCTGGCAGCATACTTTTTAAAGAAGTCCATTAGAGGGTTGAAGAGATTGCTCAGCAGTTAAGAGCTCTTGCTGCTATTTGAGGGTCAGTGCTCGATTCCTAGCACCACATCAGGGGGCTTACAACCATGTGTAATTCCAGCTCCTGAAAACACTGTGTTAAATAAAACAAACCTTATAAAAGGACAAATGTGTGGCTGCTTATCAGTATCTCAATGAGGTAGGGGGATGAAAAGCTACCATTTAATGGCTACAGAGCTTATTTGGGATGACAATAATGCTCTAGAGATGATTACTGGGGATAGTTAAACAACATTGTGAATGTATTTAGTGTCATTAAAAGGTACTCTTAAATTACCATTTATTTTTTAATATATCACTACTTTTTAAAAGTCCAATAAGGGGCTGGAGAGATGGCTCAGCAGTTAAGAGCACTGGCTGCTCTTAACAACTGTGCCTAACTCCAGTTCCAGGCACTCTCTTCTAACCTCCATGGGCACTGCATAACATGGGTGCACTTACATACATGCAGGCAATACACTCATACACATAATAAAAACGTTTTTTTTTTAAGTCCATTAAAAAGTTGGACAGCTGGGCTTGGTGGCGCATGCCTTTAAATCCCAGCACTCGGGAGGCAGAAGCAGGCGGATCTCTGTGAGTTCAAGGCCAGACTGGTCTACATAGTGAGTTCCAGGACAGCTGGGGCTTCTCAAAAAAAAAAAAAAAGTTGGACAAATGGAGCTGGAAAGATAGTTCAGTGGTTAAAAGCACTGACTGCTCTTGCAGAGAACCTGGGTTTGAATCCCAGCACCCACATGACAGTTAACTGTCCGTAACTCCAGTTCCAGGCAATCACTGATGCCCTCTTCTGTCCTCCTTGGGAACTGCACAACATGGCTACATTGATATACATGCAGACAGAAGACACATAAAATAAATTTTTTTTAAAAGATGGACAATGAAAATAGCGTAAGAAATATAAACAAAGCTGAGCATGGTGGCAGACATCTTTAATCTCAGCACTCAGGAAGCAGAGGCAGATGGATTTCTGTGAGATGGAGGCCAGTCTGATCTACATAGTGAGCTACAGATCAGCTGAACCTATAAGGAGACAAGCCTTGCCTTTAAAAAAAAAAAAAAAAGTAAATAAAAAAACAAAACAAAAGCAGGCATGGTGGTGCAAGTCTATAATCCCTATACTGAAGGCAGAGGAGGAATAGTTTAAATTTTTTAAAAATATTTATTATTTTTGTAGGGCGTGGTGGCGCACACCTGTAGTCCCAACACTTGGGAGGCAGAGGCAGGTGTATCTCTGTGAGTTCAAGGCCGGCCTGGTCTACATAGTGAGTTCCAGGACAGCTGGGGCTACAGGGAGACCCTGTCTCAAAAAGAGCACCCCCCCCCCAAAATTTTATTATTTTTATTTTACGTGTCTGAGCGTACTGCCTGCATTATTGGAAGTGTGCCCATGTTGTGCAGTGCCCTCGGAGGCCAGAAGAGGGTGTTGGATCTCCTAGAACTGGAGACACAGGTGGTTGTTAGCCACCATGTGGGAACTGAACCCAGGTCCTCTGCAAGAGCAGTCAGTGCTCTTAACGAATGAGCCATTTCTCCAACTTATGAGCCATTTCTCCAGCCCTAAGGAAGAGTAGTTTTAAGGTTATCCTCCAACTACATGGTGAGTTCAAGGTCAGCCTGGGCTATGTAATACCCTGTCTCAAAACAAAAATTGAGGGCTGGGGGATGGCTCAGTGGGCAAGAAGCACTTACTATGGAAGCATGGACCCGAGTTTGAATCTCTCTAGCACCCACAAAAGTTGTATATGCATGTGTGTGTGCACCGCATACTTCTAACCCAGTTTTTTTTTTTTTTTTAAAGAAATAGAGATGAGAGGATTACTAGGGCTTGCTGGCTACCAGCCAACTTCAGGTTCAGTGAGAGACCTTGTCTCCAGAGAATAAGGAGAATGACAGACCAGGACACTCAATATCCTCCTCTGGCATCCAGGCACACACCTGCAACACACATGTGCATATAATATCCACAAACCAAACTACCCATTTACACAAAGGAACAATCATAAGTCTAAAAGCTAAGTTCATTAAGAAAATATGATGGCAGGCTAGAGAGAGAGTTCAGTGGTTAAGAGCACTGACTGCTCTCAGAGGACCCAGGTTCGATTCCCAGCACCCACATGGCAGTTAACAACTGTCTGAAACTCCAGTTCCAGGGGATCTGATGCCTTCTTTGGACCTCTGCAGACACTGCACGACACAGGTACGCTTATACACACACAGGCAATACATTCATATGAAAAAAAAAAGAAAATATGATGGCATCATCAGGATTATTCCAAGTTCAAGACCAGACTGAGCTACCCAGCAAGACTTATCTCAAAAAAAATAAAGGGGCTGGAGAGGTGTCTCTCCAGTTAAAAGCACTTGCTGATCTTCCAAAGGATGGGAATTCAGATCCCAGCACCCACATTGGATGTCTCACAACTATAACAACTCCCAGGTGTTTTTTTTTTTTCTCTCCAGTCTTTTGAGTCAGGGTCTCCCTTTAGCCCTAGCTGGCCTGGAACTCACTTTGTAGACCAGGCTGTCCTTGACCCACAGAGATCCACCTGTCTCTGCCTCCCAGTGCTGAGATTAAAGGCAAGTGCCACCATGCCTGGCTGTAACACTGAATTTCATACAACATATTTTTAATAATATTCAGACTCCCTCCCACAGAACCCCTTATCCATTTCCTCCCAGATCTTCCCCTACCTCCCTACTCCACCTCACTTCATGTCCCCATAATTATTTTTTATTGATTTTTTTGGGTGATTTTCATACAATATAATTTGATGGTATTTAGAGCCCCTCCTCATCCCCACTTCCCCTTAGAGCCCCCAATTTAATGTAAGACCTTGCCTAGGGCTGCAGGTATGTATTCAGCATGTTCGAGATCCTAAATTCAATCTCGAACACACATACACACACAAAAAAAGTCATCTTACCTTTTTTAGTATTGCTGCATTGACATTTGGTAGAGGAACAGGGTCATCATCTCCTTCATCATCCATTCCCAAATCTAAGAAAACCAGGAAAAGCCATCATTTAACTCCATCTCTTAGCCCACCAACTAAATGATGTCTCACACACATAACTCGTAACTTGAAAGACATGTTTTCTGAATGAAAATTTAAAGCATTTTTACTAAGAACTGCCAATAATATCAGAAAAGATGTATAAATAACTAAGCAGAAATCTGGGAAATCTGAGAAAGCTGGACCTCATTTTTACTCATTTTTATTTAAAAAAATTTTTAATAT